ATTCACGGACTCAAACAGGTTGAATTATGAACATTCACGGACTCAAACAGGTTGAATTATGAACATTCACGGACTCAAACCGGTTGAGTCATGTACATTCACGAACTCAAACGGGTTGAATTGTGCACATTCACGGACTCAAACGGGTTGAATCATGTACATTCACGGACTCAAACGGGTTGAATCATGTACATTCACGGACTCAAACGGGTTGAATCATGTACATTCACACACTGTCACAGTGTTTCTGTCCCACACTCTGTGACGTTACGTTACACACTAAACTTCCTAAACCCTAAACTTCCTATATTTTTTTTCAAACTTGAGAATTTTGTTGCCAAACTACAATTTTGGTTTCAAAAAGCTAGATACCCTAAAACTATATCATCTTAGACATACTTGTAAATAATAATTAATACAACGACACCCTGTTTATGGACGTACTACTATGGATTTTTTTTATAGGTGTTGACGTCACAGTCAATCAAGATGAGATCTCCGATCATGAAACCTTTCAGTTGGAGTTTGACAGAGCTACAAAACATTGGTACATCAGAACCATGCAAGACAAGTACTGGACCCTGGAAAGTAGCGGTGGGATCCAAGCTAACGCACACAAGGGGTGAGTATAATGTATCCGGACGCCAGTGTTTTTTTCTTACACACGATCTTGTCATTCCAGAAACTTTATCAATTGTAACATTACTGCTGACGAGTGACTCGTGGATTTTTGATGACCTCATTGGATAAATAATTACTTTATTAAGTTTATAATTACTGGATCAAAAGTTCTTAATCACGACCTCCAATTATGGGTACTGTCATTATCTCTGGTTCTGTAACTTAACTGCAAACAGGAAAAAAGAATATCGTGTCAAATTTCTAAACCTACAGGTGGAATATCTTGTTTATATATATATATATATATCGGCACTTGCGTATAATGTTAAAATTATATATGAAAATCGTTTTAATTAAGTGTTGATTTTAACGTTGTATATTTATGATTTTAGAAATATCTCAATGTTGAAACAATAACCTGACTTCATGCAATTAAGGATAAGGGCTGGCTTTGAAGTTGTTTTTTTAATAGTTTAGTTTTGTAGATGGGGACAGGCTAGATGAACCAATAGGTCCCTTGTTGTCCCAAAATATTACGTTTAGCTTTATGACTTTGGACATCAGAAGTCTTGACTTTGTATGGTTTAATAATTTTACCAAACGTCTTGATTAAATGTGTGTATGAAGTAGATTGGAACTGAAGTGATTTAATTGCTAAGTAATGTGTTTAGTTTGATGCATTTTTTTTACTGAAAACACTAATAGCTTTCCATAGATTGTAATTATTTCTTTGGGTCGTAAAAGCAACCCATACACCACTGCCCTATTCTTGCTAAAAGTAGTTATTGCAGAGTTAACACGTTTCCATTTTTTTAGATACTAAGGGACCATTCTTTTAATAAGTACTTCAATGTTTATCATTTTATGAAGCAGACTAGCTGAAGCTATCCAACTCGGCTGATGAGGCCTTCAGATTCGTTTTTTAAAGTTATTGTTTGATATTGCGATTTGTGCATAAAGTAAATTCAATGTAAAAATGATTGTAAAACAAAAACACGAATGTATGATAATAAACCATTCTTCCATACTGATTTCCCAGACATCTGACTTTATGAAATCTGGTATTACCAAGTACTGTAATCTTCGGGTGTTTTTTTTAAATTAAAAAATGTATACGGGCCACATTTTATACCCAAACCATTTGTAGAACAATTAACACAGGTGCGAAATAAAAAAAAATTTCTTTTAGTTCACACGATGTTTTCTTGTAGGTCTTCCAACAGCTTGTTTGATATGGTGTGGCAAGGAGACGGCAGTGTTGCCTTCGTGGCCAACAATGGCAAATACGTTGCAGCCAAGAAGAGTGGCCACCTGTACGCCAACAGTGACAAGGTAGAAGACATGGAGAAGTTCTATTTCTTTCTGATCAACAGACGTAGTTTGGTTCTGAAATGTGAACAAGGTTTCGTCGGCTACAAGTCCTCGACATCTTCCAAGTTGGAATCAAATAAAGCTTGTTACGAAACTAATATGGTGGAGAGAAAAGACAAGGGAATCTGTTATTTCAAAGGTAAGTTATTACAGCACCAGAACAACACAGCTACGGTGATCCCACTTAGGGTACATTGTATTATTTGTACGTGTGGTAATGTCTGTTTTCAAAGGTCAGACGGGGAGGCGGACTGGGAATTAAGAAATGTATATAATCATTCAATTAGGTAAGTGTAAACGTGCACGAGACTGTAACGATCCGGCGTGTTCACATACCTGATTTAAACATTCTCTTGTATTAAAAAAACTCGTAAAGTGTTGAACTTTTTTGAATTTATGAAATCCATTAGTTAAATCTGAGGTTTTCTGTTAGGAGTACACAAACAGAATACACGTATGTTCAATATGGTAGAGGGCGAGATGACGGACTGGACCTACGTTCTGAACTGAGATACATAATTACTGAGAACAACAATAATTATTATATTTTCTATGTAAACACCAGTTTTAAGTCATTAAGAATGAAATCTGGTTGGGAAGAAGATAACACAATTAAAGTCCCAGGAAATAAATATAATTAATCAATTTGCTGTTTTTAACCAATGTAGCAAGAGAGTTAAATATAGAAACCAGCAGGCCGTGTGTTGTACAGTGTTTACTTGAAGGTTAAATATAGAAACCAGCAGGCCGTGTGTTGTACAGTGTTTAGGGACCAGCAGGCTGTGTGTTGTACAGTGTTTACTTTAAGGTTAAATATAGAAACCAGCAGGCCGTGTGTTGTACATTGTTTACTTTAAGGTTAAATATAGGAACCAGCAGGCCGTGTGTTGTACAGTGTTTACTTTAAGGTTAAGGAGAAAAACCAGCAGGCCGTGTGTTGTACAGTGTTTACTTAAAGGTTAAATATAGGACCCAGCAGGCCGTGTGTTGTACAGTGTTTACTTTAAGGTTAAGGAGAAAAACCAGCAGGCCGTGTGTTGTACAGTGTTTACTTTAGAATAGTTAAGTCGCCTCAACAGAACTTACTGTTTTGTCGTTGTGTTTTCTTCGTTTTCTGTAAATTTTAGTTTTGATTTGTAAATTCCTTTGAAAGAGCTAATAACGTATTCTTCTCGTAATAACATTTTTATATATTCACGGTTTTCCCCTCTGTTAAAAAAAATTAAATATTTAATTTATGTTGATGACCAAATTGAACGTTTTATTAATTTTTTTTCTGTTTTTGAATAAGAAGATGATGATCTTTGTGAATAAAAGAAGTTGATACAGAAGTTTGGAACATTTTCTTCCATAGTAGAACGTGGTCGCGTGGGGATCGTTCCGAATGGAAACCACCATGGTTTGACATTCCTCTACTTACTTGTGGTTTTACTGGAACTTCCGAAAGTTCACTTTGACCACACGTACATATCCGGTTTCCGTTTTGGTTACAAAAGACTGTCGCCTTTCCACTGTACGTGTAAACAGCCAGACAGACTGTGTTTGGAACAATCGCATCGCAATGAATATATTTCATAAATTAAGTATACAACAATGAACGCAGATTAATCAATTTTGAAGCCAACTTTTCACAGTGAAAGTTTGTTTGTTTGTTTGTTTTGGAATTTCGCGCAAAGCTACACGAGGGATATTTGCGTTGGCCGTCCCTAATTTAGCAGTGTAAGACTAGAGGGAAGGCAGCTAGTCATCACCACCCACCGCCAACTCTTGGGCTACTCTTTTACCAACGAATAGTGGGATTGACTGTCACATTATAACGCCCCCACGGCTGAAAGGGCGAGCATGTTTGGTGGGATTCGAACCCGCGACCCTCAGATTGTGAGTCGAGCGCCTTATCCACCTGGCCATGCCGGGCCACAGTGACAGACATAAAGGTCAGAATTATTCTAAGATTAAATGACATGCATACGATTTTCTTCAGATATGGTCGCTCTTTGTTTACTCGACGGTATATTACTTAACGTGAATCATATAAGAATAATGAATATATTAAAGTTTTATTTCTCTAGGTTCCTCCAATGACAAGTACTGGAGAGTGGCGGAAGATGGCTCTATTGATGTGGACGCCGATACTGCTGACGGGTTTTACATCGAGCTGAGAGAACCGTCCAAACTTTGTCTGAAAACTACCCATGGAAACTACTTAGTCGCTGATAAAAACGGCGCCTTCAGGGTCAACGGATCCGATCCAAGTTGCGCCACCTTGTGGGAGTATTAATACTGTACTGAGAGTCGTATTCTTCTTGATGGTGGTGTTTTACTGCCTTTCTTTGCTCACTGCTCTACTTAAGTTACGCTTTATGATATGAGTGGAAGTCTTCCTGGACTTTGTTTATTGATTAAGTTTCTAACCCTAAAGCTCTCTACTTTACACAGTCCAACCAATAACAATTAATTTGATTTACAGAAGAAAAAACCAAAACTTTTCTGTCGTTTTGTTGTTCAGTTGCCGTACATACTAAATACTGCAAGGGTAGACGTGTTTAATTTTTTCATGAATTTAAAGCTTTGATTCTCTGCCGTTAGAAATGGAACATTCGTTGAAATAGAAAGAATTATTAGGTTTGTAAAACGAGAATTTGAATTATACGTATTTAACAAATATGAATAAATCTTATTTTCTTTTCTTCAAGCTTAAATGAAAAGTCACCAATGGAGAAATTAAGAAGTTTAGATTTCTGTATGGTTAAGTAAAATATTCCCTGTCGGATATTAGCGTAATAGTTGGAAAAGTGAAGCACCAGTTGACTAGTTGTTGTAATACAATTAAACGTATTTTTGTCTTATAGTAGACCTCTACATATAGTTTGTTTGAAATAGTTAAAATCAAAACTATAAATTCTGATTTATTAGATGCTATTAAACCAAACTGTTTTTATTAATAAGTTGAAGCCTAATGAACACACTTTCGGTCAATTTGTTCTAAATAATATAACTGTATAAACGTAAATAAATCTCTTGGAATGATGCTTTTACTTAAATCTTAAAAATATGGAGAATATCTGGAAATCGTGTGATATGTGACTTAGTTTCTCCCAGTAGAAAGGAACCATTTCTACGTTCAAGGTTCTTGCTTGAAAACCTATTATCTAGCACGTTATAACAACCATTTATAGAATAATTACATATCTTGCCATTTTGTGTCAATCAAGAGGAAACTCGGTTTCTCTATATACGTGTGTGCATAAACCAAAGTTTTAAACCTGAAGTAACTGTTCTGACCTCGTATTAGTCTTGACTGTTACTCCTAATGTACTTATCAGTGTGTTTCAAAAAGTCAAAGTCTGGGTTGAGATGGAGAATTTATCGCCTCTGAAAAGAACTACTTTTTTTTTTTTGAGGTAATTTTATTTAATTACATAGAAATATAATGTACGTGGTTGTTCCTAACGCACGTATTTTACAGTTAGCTGTGAATTTAAAATATAATCTCCACGTTACTGTGTTATTTATAAGTTGGGTAATATTTTTGGTTATATAATGTTTTTAAAGCTAGTAATTAAGACTTTTTTTTTTGCATTAACTGTTATATACTGACATATCCAGGTGTACTTTTCTAAAAATAAATATTTTTTACTCTTTTTTTTGTTTAACTTAACCTCAGTTATATAATTGTTTTTATAGTAAACACGTGAATAAGCGGTTATTGAATAAACAAATATACATATTTTGTGACGTCATTTTGCATTTTCAAAATTAAGACTTTCAAGAAGAATGTATTATCGTCGACCAAACGATTGATGTAATAAATGTTATATAACGATTATTCCAATAATAAATATTTGATTCGTTTTCAGTTTACAGATGTGGAAATAATCTACTTGAAATATATATATATTGGAAGAACGTTTGAGTCCGTGAATGTTCATAATTCAACCGGTTTGAGTCCGTGAATGTGCATAATTCAACCGGTTTGAGTCCGTACACACTGTCCCGGTGTTTCTGTTCCACACTTTGTAACGTTACGTTAACGTAACGTTACAAAGTGTGGAACAGAAACACTGTGACAGTGTGTAACGTAACATTACGAAGTGTGGAACAGAAACACTGGGACAGTGTGTAACGTAACGTTACAGAGTGTGGGACAGAAACACTGTGACAGTGTGTAACGTAACATTACGAAATGTGGAACAGAAACACTGGGACAGTGTGTAACGTAACGTTACAAAGTGCGGGACAGAAACAGTGTGACAGTGTGTAACGTAACATTACGAAATGTGGAACAGAAACACTGGGACAGCGTGTAACGTAACGTTACAGAGTGTGGGACAGAAACACTGTGACAGTGTGTAACGTAACATTACGAAATGTGGAACAGAAACACTGGGACAGCGT